GAATTATACATGTTACGTACAAACATTAGTTTGAAATTTTTTTCTTATCTATGTTAAAAGCTGGCAGCAGCCGTCCTCGCAATCCGCCAAGTGAATTGAATTTGGGTAGCTTCAATGGACGCCAACCACCTTCATTTTCATCAACTTCATCTGGTTCAGCTTCGTCAAATTTATCTACGTCGTCTGCCTCCAGTTCCTCTTCACACAATTTAGTGCAACGTTTCTGCCCGCCGCCACCGCCAGCACCAGTAGCAGTAGCAGTGCCAGCCCCAACAACAACCAATAATCAGGGTAAATATGTAAACATTTTGTTTGCCGGTTAGAATGATTTAAGGTACATTTATTTGACCAGTAAAGTGCTTAGTTGTAAATTTATTTTAAACTGCTTTGATTATTTCTCTCACACATAGAACGTACCCGTGAGCGTATAAAACAACAAGCCTGCGGAAAGTTGCTCATCGATGAAGAATGCTATCATTTTACATCAGATGATTTAACTGATATAGGTGAAATTGGTCGGGGTGCTTTTGGCACTGTCAACAAGATGATATTCAAAGTAGGCAAGGTAATGGCAGTGAAACGTATACGCTCCACAGTCGATGAAAAGGAACAGAAGCAATTACTTATGGATTTGGAAGTGGTGATGAACTCGAACGCCTGCCCCTATATAGTGCAGTTCTATGGAGCGCTATTCAAAGAAGGCGACTGCTGGATTTGCATGGAATTAATGGATACCTCGCTGGACAAATTTTATAAATACATTTACGAGCGTAAACAGCAACGTATACCCGAGTCGATACTTGCAAAAATTACAGTAGCTACGGTACAAGCATTAAATTATCTTAAAGAGGAATTATCGATTATACATCGGGATGTAAAACCTAGTAATATTTTGTTGCATCGTCGTGGCGATATTAAGTTGTGTGATTTCGGCATTTGTGGCAAGTTAGTGGACTCAATTGCGGAGACTAAAGATGCAGGTTGCCGGCCGTACATGGCGGTGAGTTATTAAGTTATTGCTGTAGCATTGTTGTGCAAAACTATTTTAAAATTTATTAATTGCTAATTTATTTTCCAGCCGGAACGCATAGACCCAGAGCGCGCTAAGGGTTATGATGTGCGTAGTGATGTATGGTCGCTTGGCATAACGTTGATGGAAGTTGCTACCGGAGTGTTTCCATATCCTAAATGGGATTCGGTCTTCGAGCAGTTGTATCAAGTAAGTGTGGATAGTGTTGAATTTGCAATTGGTAATTTTGGATGAACTGCCAAGACATCCCAGACTATCCACTCAAATTGTAACTGTAATCATTCAGCTGATGGAGCGACGGTCCTTGTTCGGACGAATCTCTTTCGTCCAAGTTCAATGATTTCGCGTGAATGAGCGCATAAAATCACTGCTTTACAAGTTGAACAAGATAAAACCAAATTCACAGCATTTTGTTTTATATTTAAGTTTTAAGACATGCATAAGNAAGACATCCCAGACTATCCACTCAAATTGTAACTGTAATCATTCAGCTGACAGCAATTTGTTTTTATATTTAAGTTTTAAGACATGCATAAATGATATACATAGATATCAATTCAACTGTCGATTTTCTAAGAATTCTAATGCATTAGAACCCATAATTTCTTGCAGGTGGTGAAGGGTGATCCTCCCCGTTTACAAACGTCGTATAAGGGAATGGAGTTTTCACAGGAATTTGTAGATTTTGTGAATACCTGGTAAGTAAATAGAAAGAATATTCAGGAACTCGATATAATCGAATTCAAACTTTGTTTCTATCATTTTATATAATTTTTTCATTATTATTTTATTCATTTAATACCTTAACTTTCAATAGTTTAAACAAAAATGAGAGCGAAAGACCCAAATACGGTCCGTTGCTGGAAATGCCTTTCATATTACGCGGCCAACGTAGCCACACTGATGTAGCTGCTTACGTGACTGATATTTTGGAGAATATGGTAAAGGATGGCATAACTGAGTTTACAACAAATCAGCCGGCGGAAAGTTAAGCTTGCTTGAACATATAAAAATGCCATTTAGCGATTGTGTATTAGTGGGAAGTCGTATTAGAACTAAAATGTTGGTAGGCAAGTAGCGTAGTAGCAGAATCGTAAGCAAAATGTGTGAGTGATTGTTGTTACAGCAGCTCAGATCAGCAGCGCTGCTGAGTTGTTGCTAAAGGAAATATGTATAAATAAATATCAAAAAATATATAAAATATAAATAAAANTGTTGCTAAAGGAAATATGTATAAATAAATATCAAAAAATATATAAAATAAAATTATCAAAAGGCTAAAAAAATTATAAAAACGTATTAGTTGAAAGTAAAATATAAGACGATACAATAACGCTTTGCATAAATGTTAGTCATAAATCTGTTGTTGCTTAGAGAAACGTAAGTAAGCGTTTATTTTTTAGTTAAAGTGAAAAGTTTATTTTTGTATAAAATTAAGTTGAAATTAGCATTTTTCCATTATTGTTATTTCATGCGTCTGCTGTGTATAGTCACTATATTTTAAATGTAGTCCATTATTGCTTTGACTTACCTACAGTCAATCTAATTTGCGCCTTCGATTTGAAAAAAAAACACACACAACATATAATACAAAAAAGAGAACAACACCAGAGTAAATTAAAGAAAAATTGCATAAGAATTTGCAAGAAAAATTGCAAACATGATAAAGTTGCATTTTAAGTACACGTATATGTAATTGTAAATGTTTAAACAAATACATACATACAGTATAAAGCGAAAAAAAGAGAAGCATTTTAGAATAACCGCACATGCACATAAGCATGAGTATTTAAAATAAGTTGGTTAGCAATTTGGCTATAATACATTTAACAATATGCATACGTACACAAAAGTGAAAGAATAAATACATGTATACATATGTATGTAACAATATTATTTAAGCATATTACTCATATTGTTTAAAGTATTGAGAAAACTGATAATTATGCAATTACGCAACAGCAAATTAAACAAATAACCTATATAATAGATGGTGAATATTACATAATTTAAATTAAGCCAATGTGAAATGTCCAATCATAAGCAATAACCGCGCGTTATTTTTTTAATGCATATACATATATATTTAAGAAACTGTATTTTATAAGCGTCCCACGAGCATGCAAGCGAGAGTAGCAATAAAATAGTAAGCCAACCAGCCATATGATTGTATACATATTGTACATATGTACACACATACAAGCAAGCTAAATTAAATGTCAGCTTAGCACATCCCACTTTTTCACAAATTCTAACAGTAAATGTTAGCTAAATTCCAATAAATTGATAAATAATATACACATGCAAACGTAAATAAAAAGTAAAATAAAATACAGAGACACCATGTAATTTCCGTAGCATATCCAAAAGATAGAACACGTGCAAAATAAAAAGAAATATAAAATAAAGCATAAAAAAAAAAAATTCGTAGAAAAATAGGTGTGCAATTTTTTTGTTTGGGTGTTAGAGGCAATTTGTTTTTTATCGAAACGTCTAAAGTGGGTATAATATATTTGAGATTTAGTAGCAGAAAAAATACAAAGCATGAGTGTATTAATAAAGTTATTCAGTAGCGCCATTAATATTTATGCATTTAAATATCGAGTTATATTTATCACTAAATATGAGAATATTTAAGAAACCATCAGCATTTTGGGTAATTGTAGTACATAGAAAATTGAAGAATGTTTTGCTATTTTTAGCTTTGTTTCTTTTTATTTTCATGTCGAATGCCGAATTTCCACTATGCATTGAAATAACGAAAAATCTGTGCCATTTAAAAATGCTATCTGAAGACGAATTTAGTGACAACTTTTGTGAACGTAACGGCACAGGTATTTTTAAAGCCAAACTTGGTTTTTAAAATTTGTGTAATTTAACACCTAGCGGAAATTCGGCATGAAAGTATTTTTTCTTTTACTTGTTTTAACACTTTTAAAATCTTGTTTTATTTTCTATAGCTTTCCTAACATCGTATTACATTTTTTTAATTTCTTGAAATTTTTTCTTTTTTTCTACTTTTCATATTCCGCGTGCATCGCTTTTGGCCGTATCTAAAACTCATGTGTAGTTTGGCGTTTGAATTAAGAGCTAGATAGCATGTATGTATGTATAAAACAACAACAGCAACAACAAACAAACAGGACAACAAAAACGCATAACACCACTGATATACGCAATATTTATAAGTAAAAGTATAGTAATAAATAAAAAAAGACAAATCTGTGAATTGTGTGGAATCGTTAGAGTTAAATATTGACCGTTTATTGTGCCTACAATTAATTGTCCTCAAACTGCAAAACAAAAATAAAAAAATAAAACACAACCATTTATGATAAGTCTGGGAAAGTAAGAGGAAATAGATTCTGATTTGTTTGTTTGTTTTTTGCATTGCAGTGTATTATACCCAAGCGAATTAAGTGTTAAAAAATAAAATAAAAATAAAACAATATTCAGGTGCTGCCCTAATTTTTAATTTATATTCTCAAATTTGCACTCAAAAAATTTTCCAAAAATATTCAAAGCGACTATTAAGTGAGGTTTAAAATAACTAAAAAAAATAAAAATGCACCGTCACTTGCACCGTTACCGTCACACCAACTCACCGTCGTACATGAAAATGTACAAATAAATACTTATGTATGTCAACACATAGGCATAAACAAACGAGCTATTTTAGCCTAGAAAAAAATGCCACAATGCAATCAGCGTCCACACACTTTTTGAAATGCCTAGAAGATGTAACATAAAAATATATATGAAAAAAATAAAATTCAGAAACATACTAACAAATAAATGAAGAGCTAGATTTACTTTGCTAAACCGAATATTTGCATATTTTTACACGATCATAAATTTTACTAAAGGCAAAAATGAGCAGTGTCAAGCAGTCGTACGTACGTATGTAAATGCATACAAAGCTTTATTACATATACATACATACATACATAAAAAGAAAAGTTTTTAATTAAATTTATATAAAATAAAAAGAACATAAGCTTTTTAAGAATAGCTAACGGTGTGTATGAGCCTAAAACTATGCTTCTTTTCTTTATGAAAAAAAATAAATAAAAAACAATTCCCAGCTCTAAAATGACGCTAATACACAGTAAAAAATTACCGATTTGAAAACCTAAAAACAAAAAAAAAAACAGAAAAAGAAAAGTTAATAACACGATAACTCAGATATTGATAACATAAAAACAACACTGATGTCCACGTAAATAAGTAATAAAAATACATACATACATACAAATTTAATACACACAGCTTTTATAATGCTAAATTAAAGATTGAAAATACACATACATATTTTATTTTTCATCGAAGAGGAAAATCAATTCTACCATTAGTTGTACATATGTATGTACATAAAAATTTCCATTGATCTCAAACCTTATGTACATTAGCGTGGGCCTAAAATTCACTTTTTTAGAATTTTGATTGGTAATAGCAAAAATATAGTTCATTTGCTCTAAAAACAATCTATTGATCAGATAGGCTCGCCCAAGTCCGTCAAAGCTCAAGTGCTAGAAAATTGAAACTGACTCCCTGTGAATGCCGTTTATGGCTTAGTCCGTCAGTTCGTATAGTTGCCTTCTGACGTGCCTAAGCGGGGGCTCTGCCACAAGCAGGTGCCTGTTTGAGTGACCACGTCTTTGACACCCTACTAAGAGCATTCGAATCTCGTCGGGAAGGTGGTGCTGTGGCGACATCAGAAGGCATCCAGTTGCGGTCCGGACCACAAACTCGAGCACACCCCTTCCTCCAGTCACACATAGTGCTTTTACACCTAGTAAGTTACAGCTGCGACAAGAAGTGCGCTGTGAAAACGGCAGTTAGACGAGACAAATCCACCCTGTTCAGTTTGATGAAAAATGCAGAGTGTTTTTCGGTGAAGGTGTGCCAGAGACTTCTACAGATCCTGCAAGATTTTAGGTTCTTCCGCCTACTTTTAGCCACATTTTTCCAGTGCTGAGAGTTGCGGCCCTTGATATATGTAGCTCTTCTGTCGCTGATAGGAGATATCTAAAAACCGATCCGCTTCTTACTCAATGCAATACCGAGTCAAGTGCCTTGATCGCCGCCAGGCTATACGAGAAAATAGCAATGTTGATCGGTTCTTGCTCCGAGTGTAAAATTGTTTTTACAGCCTTATATGTAGTTCAGAATTTTTGGAGGTAAGGAGTGTATTTGCTCGCTAAATTCAAGGCTCAGGTGAAATGGTGTCTTCAGTTGCATTCCAGAAAGGGCAAATAATATTTGACCAGATTCCCAATTTATGCAGGTGTCCGCTTGATCTGCAGTAGCAAGTGAGGATGCCTGTAATGACTAAAATTTTTTGTATGGGTAGATTAGTTAGAAGTTTGTTTCTATTGCAAGAAATGGCTCGGGACTTTTGGAACAGAAGCTGCCGATATTCTAGCAAAGCCGCCGCTGTCTCATTCCCCTGTATTCCCTTGTGTCCTGGTACCCACAGTAGTTAGATTCAGCTAGTGCACTGAGGTTCGCAAGAAAGAGTTGATCTTGAAGAATGGTAGTGCCTTAAGTGGCGCCTGACTTTCGCTGTGTATTAGGATTCTGATTCTCATTCCGGTAATCTCTACGTTAGTTAATCTCTCCACACTNGCAATACCGAGTCAAGTGCCTTGATCGCCGCCAGGCTATACGAGAAAATAGCAATGTTGATCGGTTCTTGCTCCGAGTGTAAAATTGTTTTTACAGCCTTATATGTAGTTCAGAATTTTTGGAGGTAAGGAGTGTATTTGCTAGCAAAGCCGCCGCTGTCTCATTCCCCTGTATTCCCTTGTGTCCTGGTACCCACAGTAGTTAGATTCAGCGAGTGCACTGATGTTCGCAAGGAAGAGTTGATCTTGAAGAATGGTAGTGCCTTAAGTGGCGCCTGACTTTCACTGTGTATTAGGATTCTGATTCTCATTCCGGTAATCTCTACGTTAGTTAATCTCTACACACCGATTGACGGCGTATAATTCCGCTTGGAAGGCATTCGGGAATTTACCCATGGGCTCGGATAGCCTCATCTTGGTAGTATAAATGCGGTAGACCAAAGCCTTCTCAGGTGTTGCAGCCGTCGGTGCATCACTGCATGGTGCTCACCTGTATGTGTCACTTCATAATACAAGTAGCTGTTCCAGGTCGCTTTGCTTTTTATTATCAGAACGACTATTTCAATGTAAACAGAA